ATTTAAGCTTCTCTAATATTCTAGCCACATTTTCAATGTGTTGCTTGACAAATTGCTTTCAATCTTTAGCATCCAAAGTTTCATTCATGTCTTCTTTTTTATAACCTTTCATAGGTATATCATTCAAAAATGGGATGGTCTTCTCAAGTACAAACTCATTTAATATTTGGTTCATAGCATTTTGCATGTGAGCCACTGAATTGGTTGCACCTTGAGGTAAAGTACACATCTTCATTAAACCCAAAAGAGTCTTCATGGTAGTCAAGTCTTTACTTTCTTTAGCCAATTGAAATTGATTATATCTAGAATATAAGTTCCCAATATAATAGATAGCATGACCAGCAAGTTGTTCAGTTACTTCATCCGCCATAGGGTTTGACTTCATATTTCAAATAGTCACTTTGTTTGTTACTTGCATATTTTGAATGAACTTCAATGCCCCTAACTTTTTAAGTACTCTAAACCATCTATTAGAATAAGGAGCAATTGAAGGTTCAAGGATACGCATGTCTACTTTCTCTTTTAATAGTTCTACCAACTTATGAAGTAGAGCCCTAGGTACAGGTATAGGTTTCAAATCCCATGAAATATGTGGTACTATAAAAATTACCATAGGTGCCACAACACTAGGATTCACACATTCAATCTCATTGGGAGTTAAGGCAAATACCTTACCATGACTAATAAGCAATTTTTGAAATATCATCCTTTCTGGTACTATTAAGAAATCACCCCCTCCAATCTTCAACTTAACCAATGATTCTTGAGTAAATTGATGCCCAATTTTTTGCTTCTCTCTCAATCTTAACTCCTTAATTGCTTGCTTGATATGCTCCATAATATCAGGTGGTAATTGAGTAGCCACTGGCTTCACCTTTTTTGCCATAGTCTTATATTTGGTTTGCACGATGGCCTCACAGTTCAATCCATAGCTTGTAGCAAATTCAATACATGTTATTATTTTTTTCAACTCCTCATAAGCCTCCCTTGATTGTATCTCCACTATAACATCTTCATCCATTTTTGTAGCTAAATTTTCCATAACTTATATTAATCCATCTTCCAAACCAACTTCTTCTACTATTCCAACTATAGCTTTATTATTTGAAACTAAAACCACTCTTTTTAGATTTTTTTCTTATTTTTTTATTCTTTTCCTATTTACAAATTGTAATATAAGGTTGATCAAGTATTATCGGATATGTAGCAGAGTTTTGCACAAAGAAGTTTTGCTCTACCTCCACATCTCTAATCTTCGCCTTTATAGCTGGACAAGCTCCATATAAATTGCCTTGCTCATTGTTTGCAGCTCTAATCACCCAGCCATGATTGATGTCTATTAGTCACTTATTTTTTTCATACACCTGCTTGGACATAATATTGATTTTTGATCCATGATCAACTAATGCCAAAAATGGATCTCTTAAATCTCCTACCTTCACTTCTGTCTCTGTAGTAGGCCTAGCCTAATATGAAACTAAGTAACTTCGACTCTCTATTTTATCACCATTTCTTTTTGAAGAGCAGATAATTTGCGCTTCTTGTATAATCTTCCTCTCTTTATCAGAATCCACAAGTATGCCATTCGTTTGATACTCCTCTATATTCTCAACATGATTGATTTGAGTCATACTCTTCATATCAACCTTACTCTCAAACTTTAATAATGTAGTCTGTACAAACACTTTCTTTATCTCATCCTCCTCATCTTTGATCGCACGAGTATCCAATGCTTCTACTATAATAGCTTCAACTATCATTTGTCTCTTTCTTTTTATCACATCAATAATTAATTCATAGAAATCCTTCTTTGCAATACTAAGAACCTCTCTTAGAATGAATTCAATTTTGGCATCCAAAATCTTCTCTTCTAAACTATTCTTCATATTTGTAGATGTCTCAATGCCAGATTGAAGCTTGTAAGTAGGATTTTTACCTTTAGATTTGCTTGTATCTTCTTTTTCCTTCTCTTTTCCCTTCTTCTACCATTCTTTTGGTAATGGTACGCCATTAGGATGAGTGAAAGAACACATCTTCTCTAAATTTTGATCCTTAGATACATCTTTGTTTTTTAGAATTTTCTTCTTGCTTGGAAGTTTAATAATGTCTTCTTCATGAATAACTTTGCCTCTCTTTTCTTCAACCATAACATTATTCAAGTCATCATTATGTTGGTTCCCACTTAAAAATACTTTGATACTAATAACATCAACTAGATCATTCCATCCAATCATCTTCTTGATAGTTTCAACTGCCTTGATCATAGCCTCCATAGTTGGTGGAGAAACAGTCTTAATCCCACTCTGTTCAATTGTAATAGAATAAGATTCCGCTTCTTTTTTATACACAATACCACCTTTGCTTGTTTGTTCTTCTACCAGCTTCTTCATACCTCCCTTTCCAAAGTTGGTCCTCAAAAGCTCATCAAAACCTGCTAGTCTTATCCTTTCTTCCTTGAAATGCACAATATTTTCTTTGATTGCAGCTTTGTAGCTATCACATTCACCACGCTTATGGTCTGGGCTGTCACACCACATGCATCTTTCCACAAATCCTTTTGAGCCTTCAATTGTCTTTAATGAGATAATCTTTTGAGATTTCTTAAATTCACTCATTTCTATCCTGAGATCATGTATACCTTTAATTAACTCTTCAATGGTATCATCTTGAGCAACCTTGTTTTTCTTCTGCAATGGTATTGAACTCGGGATTGTGGATACTAGCTCCAACCATGATAATGATCCTCGAGTTTTAATCTTTTATTGCTTTGCCACAAGCCCTACTGTTTCTTTCACCATCCTCTAGTTATTTGTAAATCCACTCTCAAATGTCTTTACTGCAAGATGAAAAAGCAACTTGTCCTCCAAATCTTCATTGGTTGCTTGCAAAAATAACTTAGTCTTCCTAATATCCAATAGTTGCTTCTCTTGCCATGGTAATTAGCCAAACTTCTTTTCAAATTCTCTTATTAATTCATTTGGAGTCATTTGATTTCCTGGTCTTTGTTCAATCCACTTCAAAAATGATCTTTTGGTCATTCTCTCTCAGTCTTCTTCAAAAAAACTCATCCTTTAAAAGCTCCTCAAATCTGCTCCATGATGTAATTCCTTCATGCAACTCTTGCACCCTCTCCTTGATTTCAGATATTATTGCTAAATCAAAGGTGATAATCATTTTCACCTCTAAAACCTGATGTATCTCTATTTCACATGTATAAACCTCCAAGAACTTAATGATGTTCCTCCCATCAAATCTCCCAATCTTATCTACCACAGATTGGAAGGCTTTGGAGGTGCTCTTATCATCACCTTGCACTTGTTGTCTTTCTTCTATAAACTGGGCAAATGCCCTAAATAAATCTTCAGCACCTATTGCACCTAGTAATACAATCTCTGGGATTTGATTTCCCATCTTTACTTGTTGAGTAATTAATGCCTCAAGGCTCTCTTAGTAGAAGCACCAATTATGTTGGGTTAGAGAGAGTTTGTCTAAAAAAAGCGCTAAGCTTCTGATTGCCACTAAATACTCAATCAAGATCCAAATATAACAAGAACTCTAAATTTATATAAAAGTCTTTTTCATAGATATTACACCCAATACATAAGTTTTACCTTTACTAAACACTCAAAATATAACAAGTATTCTAAAACCTTCATTCACCCACAAAGAGGGAAGTGTTTTTGAAACTCAACCAACCATAACTTTTGATCCAATCGTTCAAATTTGCTAAAATTTTACATGAAACATTGATATACTTTCAAAAACTACCACAACAAATTTCAATTGCAAATTCGTTACGGATCTTGAGATATCTTGAAAATCCTAGCAATAGCTTCAAATCCTAGCTTACATACACCCGTGTGCAATTTTCTTCATATCTCACAAAGTATGTACTCAAACACTATGAAACTTTGATCTTTAGCTTCTTAACTTGATAACACACACTTGTGGAAATTTTGAGCCAAAATTTCGTCCAAAAACTCAAGTTATGGCTCTAGCCATTACTATCAACAAAACGACTCACTTACTGCCTTCAACGCCTTATAACTCCTTCATCCGAACTGAGAACTTGACAATCAATATACAAAAATTGTAGCCAAAAAAGTGCTCTCTCCAACCTCAGTCACCGATCGTTTGTTGCTCTCTGTACGCGCGAGTTATGCTCAAAAGAGTAACAGTAGGTCTGAAATAGACACCTCAACTTTGAGCGCCTATATCTCCTTCATAGAAACTCGAAATCACACAAACTCTTCACCCAAATTATACCCAAAACCCTGAACTTGCTGACCCTAGCCTCCAAAACTCAAATTACTTTGAAAGAAGAACCCTAAATCCTAATAAGGCCTCGGGCAGCCTCCTTGAAGCCCATTGGTCATGACATTCGACCAATAGGGATGAAAGTCTTCACCCCTTGTCTTTATTCATCCTCACTTTGTCTTCATCCTTCCAAATAGGCCTCTTAGTAGTTTAATTCTTCTTCTTTAGGCCCCATACTTCTTTCAAGGCTTTATACTAAATATTTAGGTTCTATATAATTTAAATTCCATAACTAAATTAAGTAAAAAATTTAAACAAGATTTCTTACATCAACTCTCTTTAATTTATTTACTAACTATTTTAACCCACATTAAGATTTACAAACATAATATATGTTTTAATTAATTTTTACACACTGTAAATAATTATAGTACGACAACACCAACTTGTTGCTCAAAACAAAGTTGAGCTTACCTACTGCCCAACACAAAATATGTACGCAGACATCCTCACGAAGTCACTCACTGGGCCGAAGCTTGTACAGCATTTACCCATGCTTGGCCTGCTTGGAGGAGAAACCCCACGTTCGTGAGATCCAGTGCGTGGACCAGGACGGCGACCTCATGGTTGACTTCAGGGAATTCCAGGCGCTCATGAGCAGCGCTGTGGATGACTGTGCCTTTGTACTTTGCCACGGCTCTGCTACTGTACTGAATGCTTCAGCATCCACTGAAATCGTCATCGTGGATGAATGATGCGCATGAGTGAAGGACTCCGTGTCAGTCACGACGCGGAGGTGATTTTTACCATATTTCCGAGAAAGCGGTTTCGCTGATCTCAGAAGAGCAGCTTTTGCGGTGAGTCGATCCTCTGGTGTCTCTCAAGATCTAGGCTGTTTATTGGTTATTCTTTCATCATCATGTTGATGGCTATCGCTTGCAACCAATTCTAATCTCGAAGGTGGATTCTGTGCATGCACACAGGTGACGTGAAGTTGATTCTCTTCGCATAAGCTTGTGAGTATCTTGTGAAGTGTGTCAACAGCTTGGAGCGCCCGATTTGCTTGTCAAGGGTTTTCGTTTCCAACCGTGATCCACTGGTGTGTTTATTTGGAAGGTTGTCACTGTGGTTGAGGGTTTGATAGAGTGGATCAGAATCTGTCTGACCGTTCTCAAGCACCTCAGAAATACATCATAGTCACAGATTTCGGTCTCACCGACTTCAAGCGACTTGTGCTTAGAAGATCCTTGCGGTGAAATTTTCAGAGGTTGTAATGTAGCATCATGTTGCGTAAAAGTTTGTGTCGAATAGTTTGTGATCGTAACTCACAGGACCGAATTGTATGTCGTTAAGGAGTACCATGTTTTTGTGGTATTCTCCGGTAGCCTTGTTGAACTTTTGCAGAATAAACGTTGGATAGTAGGTTTTCCGTTTTTTAACAGATTGTTGGTGGGGAACGCATAAATTCAAGCACTTCTACTTCCAAATGCAATTACCTTATTAATCACCGTGTGCGCTTAAATAGTACCCATGGAAAATAAGCTGGGTATTCTTGACTCGAAGAAGTCGCCTGATCTGGATGTGCGGCTCGACGAGGTGAATGAGGTGAACTATCACATCCTTCTAAATTCTTTGATTTCCCAGTCTGGTAAAGGTGTTTTAGTTTGTGTTGCTGATAATTTTTAACAGTGCACGCTTCATTTGTTAAGCACAGTGCACATCTTATTCCGTTGAGCAGCGTCACGGCAACTTGTTGAAGAGATCTGTTGTACCCTCAGTCTTGTCAACCACTAAACTAATCTTGATCCACGTTCAGTAGTCTGCCACGATCAAGGCCGAAGAAGTACTTTGAAGTGATCTGCTCCTTGGTAACGTGGGTTCGTTGTTAATTGTCAATTAGTGATAGCATGCCATCTGAGAATAGTTCTGTCATAGATTTGTACTGAACGGGGCTGACATTATGTTTTGACTGATATCATCAGATACCATCCATATTTTCGTGTCACCATCCCACAGAAGCAAAGAGGTACTCAACGTCTTTCACACTTGTCAAAAAATGTACTATTTGTGCCAAATGCCACCCTGCAGATCAAAGTTAGTTTTAGAGGTACTTCATCATTCATTCTTAATAGATATTGTGCAGTAAAGGTACATATTCCAGGTCCATCCGGCAGCCTAGTTGGGGAACTCAAATAGTGGTCCAAGTTCATCACATACCCTGGGCTCAAAGAAGAGGAATTTAATAGGGTCTCATATTTACTACATTGTATCATGCAGGTCCAGTTTTCAGCTGCACGAGACAAAGCACAAAATCTTTCTGAGTCACTCTGGAGCGGAGAAGAGTTTTGTGGAGCAGTTATGTGTGGATCTTGAAAGATCGGGCTATTTCTTTCCATTTTTCGACCAAAGAAGCCACAGCTTGCCCAAAGGCGAGACTTTCGCAACTCTCATTTTGCAGGCTGCGAAGCAGTGCCATGTGGCTGTTACCGTTCTGTCGAAGACATTCCTAACATCAAAATGGCCGATGATAGAGCTTGGAGAATTCTACAAAGCTCGTAATGCCGGAAATCCACCCCCGTATCTACTGCCCCTCTTTTTCAAAGTATCGATCAAAGATCTCGATGAGCAATCAATTGAAAAGCTATGGATGCCCACATGGGAAAAGTTTCACGCTGTTGACAAGAGAATTGACTTGGGCTTGTGGAAGAGGGCTGTGAAAGCGCTGTCTGGGACGAATGGTTTCATTTTTGAACAGGCAAAGCCATTGGAAAGCCCACCTACTGGAATTGTGTACCGGTCGGAGGTGGATTATAGGAGTGCTGCACGAGAAGAAATCCAGAGACTGTCACCTCCAGACCTTCTATATGGTAGTCGCAGTACCATGGTTGGTTATGAGCGACTTTGTCAAGTAAGTGTACTTGATCAGGAATGGTACGATTTCTGATTGTTAGCAGCAACGGGTGGAAAAACAAGCGTGATCATGTGTTGACTTGTTACGACTGAATCCTTTTAAATTCATTTGTGCGAACTGCCTCGTTTCGCTGTATACTATTCATGGTTTCATTTCTTTCAATTTGGAACTTTGAAATCATACAGAGTTCAAGAGCATTTGTTATTCTCACTTGGCAATTATTAACTTCGGCCTCGCTCAAGTTACATTCTGAAGTGGGACTTGTGGCTGCATCATTTGCCCGCAGATTTTGTCGAGTCAATTCGTAGAGGAAAATGAGACAGGACTGTTGCTGTTGGGCTTGTATGGAATGCCCGGCCTTGGCAAGACAACAATGTCCAAGGCCATAAGTGATTATTTTCAAACTGAGTTTGGGATGACCAGGGTGTGTCGTCTGGAGTTGAGTAATGTGTCCACCACAAGATCTCTTTCTCAAGACGAATATATGAAACGTAAGGCGGAGATTTTGATGCATCAAAAGGAGGTTTTGAACAAGCTGTGGTGTGGAGGCTCGTGTTTTGAATGCGATATCGGATATTGATCAGGTACATTCACAACCTTATCTAAAATGATCACGCAACGTGATCTCTTTCAACTATGATGTGATGACAAACATCTGAATATGGATCTCAAATGAAATGTCATGTTGGTATGTGAGGAATCTGATAGTGTGTATATTTAAAAGAGTCCGTTGAACTATCACAACAACTGCATAGCTTGTTATGTTATCATCTTCTAAAAAGCACTATGAATAAATTATATTGGTCAATCCCTATTATTTTGGCTATTGAAAATTATCTAACTTGTAGCTAATTCTTATAGCTTCTTTCAGTTTGAAGTGTAACTTCTTTACGAACTCGTATTGGCCAATATAACTAATTTGGCGATCAGTCGGCTTGATGAGCTCTAACTTGATGTGTCCTGTTATGACAGGCAAGGAACTTGATGCAGAAGCTTTTAAAGCTAGACAAGGAAAGGGATCAACAACCTGTGCCGGGGCTTCTAGTCATTGACAATGTTGGTAGTGACAACCAATCTTACGGCGCAACTCGAGAATATCTTCGGGCTGGATTTCCCCCCGGGAGCAGAATCATGGTTACATCGAGAGGCCATAATATTGTGGAGTCGTTACTCCAAGATACCAGATTTTGCAAGCCAGTGCCAGATTTGACGGATGAGGAAGCACGGACTGTTTTCTTGAACATTGCGGCCTCTGGAACGAGTGTGTTTACGCTTACAGATGCAGACTCGAAACGGATCCTTGGATTATGTGTGAACCAATGTCGATTTTCAGTGGATGGAGCGTTCAGGAGTGATGCGCAGTATCATCCCTTGGCATTGAAAGCACTTGCAAATTTTTGTCAGAGTGAAGAATTCAGGAAGAGATCTTTATCAAGTTGGGAGGAAGAATTGAAGGCTTTTAATCAAGGTTCTTGCCCCGGTCTGTTTGACATATTGGAATTGCAATTTACGAGCATGGATCGAGAAACTGAGCAGCTCATCTTCCTGGATATTGCCTTGTTCGGAAGAGAGTGGTATTTAACAGGTGGTAGTGGTTGGTGGAGCTGGCTTGCACAATTGCATAACACCGATTCAGAATCTGTGAAGAGGGTTGTAAGTATATTTCTTTGCCTTGATTTCAACGTGGTAAAATTGTTTTCTTGAAAAGCAGATAGCACTAAGGATTTGTTTAATAGGCATGCTGAGATCATTATTTGTGCTTGTTATCTTCGACATCATTAGCTTCTCGGAAATGCTTACTTTGAGCAGCTGTGTTTGGAATATGTGGGTTTGGAGACGTTAGGCTTGTGCATGCTATGTTCGTTTTTGGAACGCAGAATTAATGGCACGGTAATGTCACCAAATATATGTGCAGGTGCGCCAACTAGAGAAGTATGGCGTAATATATCGTAACAAGGCTTTGACGATGCATCAGCTCTATTGAGAATTTGCGGTGTGGTTTGTGACTATAGGCAACTTCCGCGAAAATGAATGGTGCGTCTCAGAACCGTATCATATTCGAAAAACAAGAATACGAGTGATGAACTTGAAGGGTGAAATTGCAGCAACGCGTTTGAAGAGAGAATGGAAAAACCTTGTACTACTTCAGCTGCATTCTTGCACCGACATAGAGAAGCTGAATCTTGAAAAATTGGAAAGTCTTTGTCATCTGGAACTCATCAACCTCACAAGATTGAAGGCACTTATCCTTGCACCAGAGAGTGATCTCTTACGATTTGTGTGGCTGTCGGGCTTGGATTCATTACAGCATCTACCTGATTTCAACACTTGTTGCCCAAATCTGCAAGTGATGATAATTACACGATGCTTGACCATGAATGTGCCTTTTGGAAGAATTACAGAGTGCAAAAAACTCAAATCACTTCATGTTGACACTGGTCTTTACCAAGCGCTAGGCCCTGAGGTGCCAGGAACATCACTGGGTTCAAATTTGATGAAACTTGAGATTAGCATCTTGAAGCAAGCAAGCGAAGAGTATGTGTTGAACCTAGAAGGCTTGGGGCGTTGCGACAACTTGGAGTGGCTTATCCTAAAAGATCTTCCTGTAAAATGGATCTCCGGTCTTGAAGAAGTGAAAAGTTTGCAACGATTTGGAGGTAGAGCCATCTTTTACAACTGTGGCAACCTTGAACAGGCTCCAGAGGGTGCGTCTGAGATACATAACGTGTACAAGATCACTTCACCTGATGGCTATTTGTGGACTACGCATCAGTGGAAGGAAGGAACTACGAGAGCAGGAGTGACATCTCATTATGTTGATCGTTGGGGCAGAGATGAAGATTTTTGTGATTATGGAGATGTTCCTAGATATTGGATTCATCAGCCACAGTGGAATATGAACAGTAACATATGAAATTTCTAACTTCAAGTGGCAAAATTTACGTGATCCTCAAGTTCAATGTAAACATGATGGTACCGTGTGGACTATGATAGATGATGGTAGCGTGTGGCCTATTATATAGCCAATTCCTCCTTCACATAGCACCTGATGTAGCATCAATATCCTGCTTACAAAGAAATTACTGGTTGCCAGAGTTGCAGACTTTGGCCTGTCTAAACTTCTGAAGACAGACCATCAAGATGCTTCGCATGTAAGTGGTAGGGGCTTTCTTGATCCAGAGTAAGATTATCCCCTGAATATCTAGGTCAACCAGAGTGGTTTCATATCGCACCTGAAAACTTGGCTAGTTTTGATTTTGATTTTCAGATCTGTGCTGGGTTTCAGATACCATGAGATGGGAATGCTGATTATTAGAGGTTAAGTGGCAGACTTCTTGGTGGGCTAATACTATTTAGTCATGGAATCATGTATTTTCAATATTCACAAAGTTGATCATGACACTACGACATGCAAGGTTGAAGACAAAAAAAAAAAAAAAAAAAAAAAAAAAAAAATTGGTGTATTAATATGAGTCTGTTTTATATGATAATATCTTAGATTATAGAAACACAACTATACAAAACAAGGGCGGAAATTTACTAAGGTTACTCTTTTTTGGGCAAAAAAAATATACCCACGAGTATATTTGATTTGGAGCCCTTTGTAAAATGGTTGTTGAATGTCAACCGTCCATTCAAAAAATCTGAAGATATCATGGCCACCAAAATGTTAGATGAACAAAAGATCTCTTGGACAAAATGCTGATTTTTTGGACTTTGTGTAGTCAGGACACATGTCATTCTACAGCTGGCCCAACCCTTTCGCGAGACAAGTATACTGCATACTCCAGAGTATGAAAAACATACCATAAGTACCAGGGAATATATTTGCTCAAACAGTGCTCCAAAAAACTATAAGTTGGAGCTGTCCGCTGCTCTAGGTGGTAGCCGAGTCGCCTTGGGTCTATCCGGATAGTCTACCGACCATATCCGATGCACCACACTTTGACAATTATCCAGATTTGAATCAAATTGCCTCTTATTCTAGATTGTCGGGTTGTTATTCTTTACAAAGTAAGTGACCACCGATTCTGTTAAGATTTTTAATCTTTAATTCCTTTAATTTTGATATATCTAGAAATGTTGCAATCTTTAATTGTGTCACAAATATATCTATATAATTTGATAATTATTTAGATAATATGAGTATGTAGAAGTAAATTAAATTAAATAAGTATAATAATATCTTATGGAAAACTTTTTAGAAGCTTCATAGAAGCTGCTTTACTTTTAAGCATATTTATAGGTGAATGGTAGATTAAAAACTTGGCCAACAAAGTAGCCATGTGTTGACATATTGACCACTTGCAATATAAGTTAGACATGTGGTGTACATTTGGAAAACTTGCCTTACAAATTAAACATGTGTCTTATAAGTTGGACGCATATTGGAGGTCTTATAGCTTATCATTGTGTAGTTCTTAATTAGAAAGTATATATAGAAAAAAGAGTAAGGCTTTTTTTATTCTTATCAATTTTTTTTTTACTTTTAGTCTAGTTTTAAGAATATTTAAGTTTTTTTAGTATTTGGCAATAGCTATTCTATTATTCTTCTAAAATATACATACTTCTTTATTAATATTTTGTCACTTTCTTTTCATACATATTTTATTAGTTTATGCATCTTCTTTTAGTTTGTATCCTTGACATATTAACAAAAGCGCACATATAATATGAAAGCTTTGTCTTTTCTTGATTAAGAGTGGATTACCCCTTTTTATTGATAAGACATAAGCATATTAGAAGTTGTGGATTATCCGCTTATAAAATAAAACTTGTTCCTAGAAATTTTTCTTTTGAAAGATTTATTTTGCATTTCTTGAGTAAAAATAGATACTTTCTTTTTTATTGTGTTATCATGGTAGAACTTATTAAAATGAGGAGTGCACAAATGCATTAAAAAATAAAACAGTTGATGCTTTCAATGCATCAACTCAATTCACTACCACAAGGATCAACAAGATTAATAAGAAGTGACAATGTCAAAATAGAGAGAGTTTGTTTCAAGAAAGCATTGGATCTTTGGCTACCACTAATTATTCAACAAAGTTTGAAAATAACAAAAATCCTCCCAAATATAAATAAAAGTCATGCCCATAGGACAATTATATCCAATATATAAGCTTTAAATTCACAAAACACTAAAATATAACAAAATGTTCTAAACCCATATCCACCCATGAGGGGGATTTTTTTTCCAAACTTAAACATTACATATCTCTTCATCCAATCATCTAAATCAACTCATTAATTTGTATAAAGTACTGATGTCTTCTTAACACCTACCAAAACAAATTTCAATTGTAGATTCACTATCAATATTAAGATATCGTTGAAATCCTAATAGTAGCTTCAAACCCTTCTTTACATACACCCCCATGAAAAATCCTTTATATCTCTTAGCTTTAATGCTCAAATGCTATGAAATTTGTTGTATAGCTTGTTAATATAATAGCACACATTCTTAGAAATTTTGAGCCAAGAATTCATCTGCAAGCTTAAGTTATAGCTCAAAACATCCCTATTCACAAATTGGTGTATCTATTGCCTTGGAATTGGATGCTCTATGTTCAACTCCTAATATCTCTTTTGTATAAATTCCAAACTTAGAAATTTCTTTGTAATAGATGTAAATCTTAAAAACACCTTTCCAATTACATTTTCTGATCTCCAAAAGCCTTTGAACAACTCCGCCAAACCTCAAAAGAGTGATAGTATGTACCAAATCCACTCCTTAACTTTGAACAATTATATCTTCTTCACCTTAATTTCAAATCTTCTAAAATTTCCACTCAAACTATACCTAAAATCCTAAACTTTACAATCCTACCTCTTAATGTATAAAATGCCCTTTTTGAAGTTGCCAAAAATCCTCTTATGGTCGCAGACCTCTTATGGTTGAAGCCCATTGGTCATGGTTACTGACCAATAGAGATGAAGCACCCCATCTCTTGTCGTTATTCATTCATATGAACTTCTTAGTAGTTTGGTTCTTTAATTTTGGACCATGAAAACTCTCTTAAGTCTTTGCATTAAAAATTTAACTACCAAATGGTATAAAATCCATAACAAAAATAGAAATTAAATATCAAAATAAAGCATCTACTACCAACTTTCTTTTTAATCCACCTACTATAATCTTCTAACACATATTAAAGTTTACAAATATTTTATGTTGTTTTTTCTAATTGATTTTTATATACTATAATCATTTACATCATGACAAAAATATGGAAATGATTAGAGCATCTTCAACATTTATACCAAGCCATACCACTTCACCTATGATAGAACATGGCTCAAGCATCAGGGAACCAAAAATCACTATGCTTGAGAAGTTTGATGGCATAAGATCAAAGTTTCAAGGATAAATCAATTAAGTGCAACTAGTAACTGAACTTCAACCTTAAAGTTATTCAATTCAAGGATCATAAATCACTTTTATTAAATCACTACTTTTGTGTTCTGTATTATTGTGGTTTTTATCTTTTTTTGAATGACGTGATCCAATATTAAATAAATTAGAGGCATTTTAGTGGAGTTTTAATTTATATATTTATATATATATATATATATATATATATATATGATACAACTCATGTTACAACCAAAAAAATCCATATCTTACAACAAAATAATCAATCAGTGACATTATATGCTTCACTCAGCAATAGAATGATGATGCACTCAATAGTCAATTTAAATATAGATTACAATATAAGGTAAAAAAATTGATGTGCAACTTACCCAATCTTCACACATTGAGTCAAGCAATTTATTTTGTTTTGAAGTGTGACAATTAATTTTTTGAAATTTTAATCTAAAATGCCATATTCATTAAATTGGGAAAAAATGCACATTTTGAGATTGAAAGCCTACTATTACGGAGTACTAATCCATAGATAATTATTGCAAGCAAAGATAATGGAAGCACATTTGTATGAAAGAATATTGTGGAGCCACGACAATTATAACCAACTAGATGTATCAATTCATATGAACAACTCACATACACACACTAATATGACCCAAAAAATACATTATAGAAGAATGATATGATTATTGATAAACTGGTATGTATTACAAAATGCTATAATATTTCCATTTTATGTTATAGTATAAATCTAAAAATATTTATTTATAGATTAATTGAATCGAGTTAATATATTTATAATAGAAGATTCACTATAATAGCCTCCATACTCATACATCCATTGTTGCACCAATTTTGCTACTTGGTCTATTTGTAGTAGCCTCCAACGACTTAAGCTTCACCTCTTATGCCTTCACTTTTGCATATTCTCTCATAATTTTGTTGCCTTGACAATATGGTTTAGGATTATAACCTAAATCCATCATCTTCTCGTTTTGTATAAACGATCATAGATGACTACTTTGGTCCATTGTCATTTTTTGACCTCCAGTAGAATTAGAGACATCCAAAGAAGATTGTGACCTTGTCGACAAGCTTGGAAATTTTTGATATGCAAACCTTGATTGAGGCGGCTTAAAATTCAAAGATTGTGTATGGGATCCGCTTTCAATTATGGCTAATCTGAGAAGCACTACATTGTCTTGCAATTGTGTGACTTGAAGACAATTGCGATTGGATGATATACTAGTAGAGGGAGGAGGCATATGATGGACAAGTAAATGCCCAATTTCCTTTGCTGGGCTGGCATCAAGTGACACATCTATGTATAGCTGCTGTTGAGGAGTGGCATTAATTCCAAGCGTCAACAAGGGTGATTGCTCTCGGACAAGCATAGAAGAAATTTGCTTAAGAAGTGAAGGCAATCACAAAGGTGTCCTCCTCAGACCTTGGCTTGAGCGACTGTCATATCTTTTGGAGAAGTCTATAGTTGCAGATGCAGTATTTGTGGCAATGAACATAAGAAACGGCTTTGAATGATGGGATGGGAAGAAATCTCCTTGTAGAGACTCAGAGCAATAAAGCAACAAACTGAGATTAGAAGCCACCATACCATGACTTCCGTCTCCCTTAAAAAGAAATGGATCATCAGGAATCTTTATAACCTATAAAGTATTGAAACAAGAAAAGTGTTTAGAATAACATCCCTATTTTACTATACTTGAAATTTACATGCGATGGAAGGATAAATACAA